ACTTACTCTCAACATTGAAACATCCAAATATTGTTACATATGTTGAATCATTTCGTTCGTGGGATTCGCATCTAAATATTGTTATGCATTATTGTGACGGTGGTGATCTGTATACGAAAATAAGAGAGAAAGAATCCGAAAATCAGTTGTTCGATGAAAGCAAAGTTATTGAATGGTGTGTTCAAATATGTATGGCTTTGCAGTATATACATGACCGACATATCGTGCACAGAGATTTAAAAACACATAATATTTTCTTAACTAAAAAAGAAATTATTAAACTTGGAGACTTCGGTATTAGCAGGTGAGCACTGTGAAAATAATGTGAACCTATATGCACTATTATTGAGAGCTGTGATGAGTAGAACATTTGCAAGATAAAAGCTTTAATAACGATATTCGAGATTTCGGAGGATTTGGTGGCAATAGTGAGCTGATATCTGCTGTAATCTTGTGTGATATCAACGTCAACTATCAGTTTTTATTGTTTTTCAGAGTTCTTGGTGATGTCGGCAACTTGGCCACGACTATAATTGGCACTCCATATTATATGAGTCCAGAAATATTCTCAAATACACCGTATGATCAAAAGGTGAGTTTAGATAACTCTTCAAAAGCGGCACAGTTTAACTGATTAATATCTTTGATTTTTATGATTCTAGACCGATATATGGTCATTAGGTTGCTGTATGTATGAAATAGTTAACCTTCACCATGCATTTGAAGCTACAGATATGAATTCACTTGTTATTAAAATACTACGAGGACGCGTAAGTCCGCTAGATTCATAGATAAATTGGATTCACTTCATATTGGACTACCAACTCTTGCTATTCTAGACACCGCAAATACATGGGAATTACAGTGACGAATTGAAACAAATTATTAAAGCTACATTATCGAAACGACCAGAGAACAGACCAACAGCCGAAAATATTCTGAAAAATAGATATATTAAACAACATATTGTACAAATGTTAGAAAATATTAAACGAAGGTAATTTTTGCTAACTTTACACCGTACATGTGACGGAAAAAAACAACCAGGTTCCTATATCTAATTGTCTGATAGGCTTGAAAATGATGCTCAAAGAAAACAGCTGGAACAACAAAGTCCTTTAACGGTGCCATCGAAGTCTAAATTTACAGATCTACCATCAACCAATAATATCACCACAAAAAGCATGACAGATTTGTCTATCAGTGAGTCACGCGCACGTCGACGACAAAAAAACAGTGCTAAATCGCATTCACCATCCCATACTATAGTCGAGCCAACTACTGCAGTTGCCGTTGATGCTGACGATGTATTCTGGAATGCAAATGTACCTGAGGTGCGAGAACAGTATCCAGTTGAAAAACTACGATGTTGTTTTGAGCAGCGTGAAAAAATGAGCGAGGACAATTATCAACACTGTCAAATCAATAATGAATTTACTGGTCTATCAAATTCAGCTCCTAATATATCAAATATCAATACGAAGCAAAAAGCAACACCTCCAGTGGTAAGTTGAACAGAAATCGTGCACTCACACACGATAAACTAGCACGAATTGAAGTTTAAAATATTTGAAAAAGATTCAAACCATAAACTCAGTCGGTAGAAGACAAGTAAATTAACAGTTGTAAAACAAGGCAAACAAAATAATTCTTAGGAGGTATCTCTGAAGAATAAAACGCAGACATGTCAACTGAGAGCAAAGGAATCACCGATACATTTATACCATACATCTACATATTGACTGTGCTAAAATATAAAAAAATTAGCATTACATACATGGCAATACTTTGTACAGTCAGTAATGATGAGAACAACCATCCTATTTACAATAACTTGCATATTCAAAATATCTCTATCGTCGTATCTAGTAACCACTTTCGATACAGTTTTTGTCTATCCTTCTTTTTATTTCAGAAATTCCTACCATTGCCATTAGCAACTGAAACAGTGCCTGTTGAAGATTCAAAGCAAACGAATTATCGTTATTTTGATATTGGTGATTTGCCAGATCAAACTTTATTGCCTATTACAGGATATAATAAAAAATCATTGACCTCGCTTGAAAATGCTGTTCGAGATTTGGAACATCTTCTCGATGATATTCAAGTAAAAATCATTATAGCTAAGAAGAATGTTCAGAAATGCCGTGGCATATTGTCCATTGATGAATCAGCTGCCATACAGTTATATACAATGGAGACATTGCCTCTTGATCGTTGTCTTTATTACAATCTCAATAAAACTTTACGTACAGCTAATCGACGGGAATTAGAGCCATGGTTTTCGTATTTAAAACTACTTCTGACAGCATTATACAAACTACCATCTGTTAGACGTACAGTTTGGCGAGGAATTAAAAACGTCGATCTCAGTAGCGAATATCAAGAAGGACAATGTTATACCTGGTGGAATTTCAGCTCCTGTACAGATACGTTAACTGTGATGCAAACAACTCATTTTCTAGGAACAAAGGGTCTTCGAACATTATTTGCTATTGAATGTGAAAATGGAAAAGAAATTAAGGACTATTCCTACGTTCGCAAAGAAAACGAAATATTATTGCCACCAGCTATGTACATCGAAGTTTTGGGAAAAATAAATCCTGCACCTGATTTGCATATCATACATGTGCGAGAGACATCACCACCTTACGTAATGATTAGTCCACCGTTTTAACGTCAAGTACTTCTACAATACAAGAAATTATTTTTATTTTTTAAACAATGACTTATTATTTATATGTTTTATATTAAACAAATAAAATACAACGAAATTTCAGCGATAATGATATGAAAGTCAAATGGATATTTCGATCGAAAAGATTTGTTGGGTACTCTTCCGTCCTTGAGAATATTGTAAATTGGTGTTCAAATATTCCACCCGATGAATCTATCCCGAACTACCAACTCGAAGAGGTCATGCTCCTAGCTGAGTTTCCTGACACTTTCTAACTTTTTCTTTTTTTCTTTACTCTCTTCTCCTTTTCTGTTTCTTCTTTTCTCTGTTCTTCCATCTTTACCCATGAGAGTTAATTTTGAATTCACATACTCTTTAATTTAATAATGTCATTAATAAATTGTAAACTTTGAATGTTAAAACTTGAAAATATTTATTTCTTTCATTTTTTTTTCTTTTGTTTTGTTTTTGTTTCTTCTTTTTTGTTCTTCACTTTGTGGCCTTATTGTTGATCTCCATTGATAACAAAAATATTTGATATGTATCGCCATTCTCATGTTCTTTTCCTTTATCCCTCATCCCTTCTCTTTTCTTTTTTTTTATATACTCGCACGTACTGTCAGGACCTGAGAGGTCGCCAGTTATCGCTAATAAAAATAAAAAATAAAAATAAAATTTCAGCGATAATGGTATTTAAGACAGGGCGAGGATAAAAGTGAGTTTATAATACAAAGATTCAAAGTATCATATGACGCGTTTCGACTATCGCTTAGATAGTTATCATCAAGTATGTTGAGAATCTATTAGGAATGCAACAGTGACGATCAACCACTGATTTACTGTCAATGATTCATCAGTCTAAAACGATAACCTGTCGGACTAATCAACCGATTAAGCAATTAAATAAAAAACCAATCAAATTGATTAAACGAAAACTGGCCGGCTCGAGTAACAGTTTTAGATCGATACTTATTGCTGTTCACTCACATTATGTAATAATTGACATGAATCGATGGACAAATAACTATTTCCCAAACGTACATTGCAAAAATTACCCAATCTTACAAAAGGATTTACTACACTCTAAAATCCTTTTTCTCGCAAACCTAAACCCCTTCGGAAACCCAAAAAGGTATCCGGAAAGGTTTCTGGACGCTTGTTGAGTTTCTGAAAACACCTGCCGCGTTTTCGAGTCTCCGAAAGCCAATCGGTTTTCGAGAATACGGATGACCGTTTCCGCAATTTTATTCTAGAAAACCCTGGGATATAGTTGAGAATTGAAAGATTTCCTCGGAAACCTTTTTCGATTCCAAAATCTTCTCGGAAACCATAGACGTATGCTTGAATACCTTTGCGTTTCCGATATTTTTTTGTCGGAAACCTGTTCAGATGTGGGTGTGGGTGGGGTGTGGCTTAGTCTTAAGATCCGTGCTTACACCGACACCCACACCCTGCTGATTATTTTGATGCTGCGTAAATAAAAAAATTATACATAGATAATATTCAATAACAATATACGATTAACTTAAATAAAAAAGGCCACATATTTACAAATAGTAGAACAATCACAACATTTGATATATAATCTCTGCAATAACAAGCGAAGCTGTATTTGTGATATTCTTTGCATGAACGAAAGTACATCATACTGTCAACCATTTTTTTATGCAAAAGAAAGTGATCTGTTATATTAAAGATGAAATAATGCCATGCAACAATCACTGTGATGTGTATTTTATCTATAAGTAATATTAATCAACTGTCGTTTATATCTAAATACAATCATATCCGCATGTAGATTGGGACAGTCTAGGGCCAAGTGAATCGAATTTCAATGAATGTTACTTGTCTCGGCAATGCCCAGCTTAATTTTTTGTAAACCATAACTCCAACTCTCCACCATTACTTAATTTTCGTAGATCTTCCTCAGATCTATAAATAGGCACTGTCTGCAAAGCGTTTCGCTCATATAAGTCAGGCAAATGATCATTGACAATTCGAATATTGTATCCACGAGAGACGAAGAAGTTAAGATATTCATATAGATCGGAATTTTTATCTCGCATCATCCTAGGAGAAAACTCTGATATAATGTGACGAACACGATATCGATCGAATAATCCAGTGCCGCTACGTATTGCATGTAATTCGGATCCTTCAACATCTATTTTCATTACATCAATATTCTCAGTAACTAATACATCGAGTCGTGTACTGTTGATAATCTGTCTTATCGAGTAACCTGCAGGCACTAGCACATTGATATCCTTTAATGATGATATGCCACAAACCACGTGACCATCACCAATATTGCGATTGTCACTATAGAGTATACATTGGCCCGGTATTGTACCAAGGCCATTTGAATGCACAATAACATTTTGCGATAATTGTGATGCTTGTAGAGATGCTTGCATGAGCTTAATATTAATATCCATTGGCTCTATTGCTATCACCTTGTGACCGAGTACTGACATGACGAGAGTGAACCAGCCAATGTTAGCACCAATATCTAAGAAAACGGCAGGTTTCGACGGAGAATTTGCTAACAGCAACGAAATAAACTTTGTCTGATGTGACATCCATGATCCAGATTTAGCAATTGAACTTGAGACAATGTCATTCGACAATAAATGTATACAAAAAGGACGAGAGCCAAGAAATGTAATGTTAATGCCACTTCTATTGCTCCAACAAGGATAGGCTTCTGTACCAACGTGAACAGATGTTGGTGTCGATATGATACGCAGTTGTCTTGTTCTGTTCATATAAATAAACCCAAAAATAAATAAAATAAGCAACAATATAAACAATGTCCATCGAGGAATTTGACGTGAGAAAAACTGCTTCATTGTCGGTACATATCAACAAAAAGAATATTGATGACACGATGATCGAGAATGGAGTTGAATCATCGATTAAAATGTTCTGAACAACACTTAAAAAAATCAAGCAGCATTAAACGGCAGATGAGGATACGATTACTCAATTGACAGTTTTAGTTAAATAAACGGTTATGTAGAAGGCACATGCCTTTATTTTACTTTCTTTTTTATGTATCAGATAACAGTTTGAAAATGCATAGATAAGAACGAAAAAGTACTGAGATTTAAGTCAACATAGATTAAAATGAACTTACTTAATTGAAACGTATTAGGGTTGATGAATATCCATTCAAAATGTAAAATGACATTGTCAAATTATTGCATCTTGTCCTATTTGGATTCCAGACGAATCCACTAATCATCATGTGCAATCTGAAGATTTTACTCGCTCCCTATTTGAAAAAGTACGAAAAAGTGATTATTAAGTACTAAAGTTACGGCGAAATAACTACATGGACAGTTACTTAAAAATAGAAAATTTTTTTAAAGAAAGTGCTCACCTATATCGAAAAAACTGTCGATTAGCTGGTAACAACAGTTGGTAACTTTCATACAGCTAGAGAAAAAAAACGTAGTCGTGACTTAGAATGTTCTGTTCTCTTTTTTTAATGAATAAAAACAAATATTTGACAATAAGAAACATGATATAAATCATGTTCGCAAATATTCAGTCGGGAAGCAAGCAAAAAAACTAATATATAAATACTGAGCAATGAGAAATCATCATAAACAGTTTAGATAAAATTTCAGCTAGGATAAACTTTTATATTGTGTTGATAATTCCAGCAGGTTCAGCGTGCTCAAACTGATAAACAATCAAATTTGGAACGACAATTTGTTTTTTAAAATCGATATAACTCTATATCTACAATGCGTATTAAAGATGATAAGTAAAGTGTCAATTTTCGCCACATCGGTATTTTCATTATTTCTATAAAGTTTCGAAAAGTATGAAAACTTCTTTTTTTTTTTACATGGGTCATTCATCAACGTAGTATATCATAATACGATTCAACGATACAGCTGCGAAAAAGCAGTCGTGTTCGAACTGGTTAGAAAAAGAGTAAATATATGGTCATATATTGTGACGATAATGTCGAGTGCTTGATAGGAATAACTAGTCAATACTTATTTCATAAATCAATAAATGAAAAGTAATATGTCTTTCTCTTCTCATCGATTTAATGCAAAGAATATGATTTGACGAACAAAGCAGTAACAATATAAGTAGATAAGCGTTCTGATATCAATGAAAATAATGAGGAACAGACAGGCTCTGCATATTATCCTTAGATCATTTATGAATTTGTTCGTCTATTTGAAATTGAATCTGTGCATGAAAATACTATTCATTAATAGTGAATCTTACTTTTTTCGTTGTTACATGAAAGGAAAGCAGACAAGCTAAAGTTCACCATAAAAAATAACTATCTTTCAATATATTCATAGACAAATGAACAGTATATAGAAGTACAAATAATATTTTTCAAAGGGTAGTTGTCTCATTTTAAATAGTATTAAGAATGAATCAATGAAAACTTTGAAGGTTGTGTACTGCCGAATCTTGAGAATTTATCATAGAAATTCGTCAATTGCAACCACCTCAAAATGTTCTGCCACAGAAAAGAAATGAAACAATGCAAAAAAGAAGGATGGGATGTGGGTGTAGCTATTCTTTTAACCCACACCCACTCACCCTTTTTTCTAATTGAAATATAAAAGCAACTCGGATGTATTTTCATCACACGTGACAGTTGTAACGATAGAAAGCAGGATAATCTTGTTATCCTATACGTTGATGTGGGTAAATGTTTTTCTTTTGAAACAGAAGTTTTGAGAAATGTAAAGTTTTCGATGAGTAAACTGTATTCTAGAAAGATAATATAATGTCACTAGTATGTTTTTAAAATAGAATATTAGATGAACAGAAGATTCGTTTAGAAGACATGTAAAAGAGATAAGGTCTTTCAGTTTGAAACGTGTTTATGGTATCTCGAAAACACGAAAGCAGGTAGTTGTCTTTGTAGAAGTATATTTGCACGTCGAATTTTTAAAATTCTTTGATCAAGAATAGTAATAATGTACATGAAATTATCTGAGAAAGTATACGAATAGCTCTATTTTTACAATCAATTGACTAAGTAAATGTGTATTTTTTTGATAACATTTTTCATTACGTTATGAAAAAGAAATCAATTTAAAATAGACAGACATAATAATATAGAAAATTTATTACAACTTTTGAATAAGAGGACGAATACTATGGTAAAATGTATGTGGTTACAACTTGTGAAAGATGAACAAATACTGAAGTGCAAGACAAAAAACATCTCATACTTGATTCAATATATATTTCTTATATGAATGTCATTTTGTGCTTCGCAGTGATAGGAACATAAATTCTCGAATATAATCACTGAAAATTTGTATTATGTGTGTATTGATTTTTATACAAAAACAGAATATCTGCATGCAAGTAATTGTTGAACTTAGATCGAGAAATATCAATCAGAGATAAGTTTTTGATAGTGAAAAGTTTGTATTGAGTCCATTTAAATACATTTAACATATTTTCCTTCCAAAAGAAAAATGAGACATTCCACAATATTCATCGTCATCCGAGATGTATTACATTTATTTCTCTTCATATACAACACGTATCTGTCAAAACATAGTTTTGAATCTTTTACTTTAATTATTGTTGCATCGCAAAACAAGAAGATTATCGATTTCAAAATCACATTTAATAGAAAATGTTGCTCTGGCAGACTGATGTTACCATCTATCCGCACGTTTTCATCATCGCAACATGTATTTGATTAGATTTGATCATTTACCTCTTAGTATAAGTTGTAATAAGTAACTTTCTTGTCGATATGCGGAGTACGGTATCTCCTTTGTCTTTACACATATCATATAAGAAGTATAGAACGAAAGAATGGAATGTGTAAGAACAAAGAGAATGTCGTGCTCTACCTATCAGCGAGAAATATTGCTTAATTCATTTTACCAAGAGGTAAATGATGAAATCTGATCAAATACATGTTGCGATGACGAAAATGTGCGAGTCAATGGGAACGTCGACTTGCCAGAGCAGCATTTTGCACCGAATAGTAATAATGAAGTTGTCTATTAGTTGTATGATACTTAATCGATGATGATTGTTTCAACATTTTTTTAAGGGACAGGCTATTGTTCTATGGTATATCGGTGTTATAACGAATTTGCTAATAGTACCAATGCAATGGAAACATTATGGAAGAGGATTTTTTTTTTTTTTTTTCATGAAATACAAATATCGTGTATATTTCGTAAGATATTATTGGATGAGATGTACTATATTTACAACGAAGTTCTGAAAGTCGATACACTATTGAATAAAAAGACATCTTTTTTCCACGAACAAGAGTAATAATGTAATTATTATATATTACAGTTGATGATGAGATTCAAAGAGAAAGATCTTTCTAGGATAATCTAACATAATAATCAAATAAATCTTATGGTTTAACAATATTCCTAAATGCTTCAAGATTAAAAGAAAGATTTCAAAAACAAGTGTACTAAAAGTGCGATAATCCTTGTGAGTGTGTCTGTGGAAAAAAACGACACTCAAACCCTATTTCTAGAAAAAAAAGGGATATATCTTCGAACGGTAAGTGAATTCGACGTTATATTGCTTATCAATATTTTATCTAGATATGAATTCAATCTGATGCATACTTTATCGAGAATGAAGTTTCCAGAAGAAATTTTTATCAAACATAGCTTTAGTCTTTCTGCGAAGATGATCGATGCAAAAAAAAAGAAACTAATATATATGCCAAAAATTTTTCACTTTCAGATGAAAAAGTACAACATGCTTAGACTTTGAATTCATCATTTCTCTATACTTTTTTTAAATGATACGCTCAAAATAGGCTCCTCTAGTGCAGGATAAACCTACAAGATTTGCATGTCTACAAGTGGTCTCTGAAAAAAATAGTAACAAGAAGGGCAATGATTCATCGATAGACTTAATATGAGAAGTGTTAGTTTTTTTGTCACAACTATCAATTCTTGACCGAAGAAGAGACATTTCTTTACTGACTAACTGTTATCTTTCCAATATCCTTTACCTTCGGGCCCAATAATCAATTTACAGTCAACATTTTGGTGATGAACATAATCGTCAAATTATTCGGATATTGGTGGATGTTCTTATACTTTCCACTCATACCATCAGATTTTAAACTAATCTTTTATGAATAGTATTGAATATTTCCATTCAAAAAAATATAATTAAACTTAAAATAAAGCATCGAATTAGTTTTCACTCCAAATACAAGTATACTAGAAAACGTAAAGCAATCAAGCAAATTTAATATAGAATGAAAGCAATATTAACAATAAGATACTGTTTAAAAATTCTTGATATTCATATAGTTTTCAAATGATCAATAAATAGATAATCTAAAAAAATAAAACGAAACCAATTTAAGATATATATCGCTCATTTAAAAATCATTATAAGTAGGGATGTGCCGATGGAGAAACGATAAATAACTTGATAAAATTCGTTAAAATGACAAAAAACCAAAGAAAATAGGTGAAACATTTAACGATATGTAATGAGTTAGTCGCAGTGAAAAGTTAAATAAAGTGTGAAAAAGCATGAAAAATCTAATACTTCTTGATTTTTCAAAATTTTAACGAAAATTCTTGAAGTTTTGTCCGTTAAACTTCATTACTTTGTCTTTTAACACAACTATTGACGTTAATTTCAAGACTTGTCTCGTTAACGATCTATTTTAGTTTTACATGAGTTTTAATTACTTTTATTGCCTATGTATAAGACGTCGTATTCTAATTTCATAATTGCTGAGGGTTGTAACAAGATATTCTTAGAATATTTCGATGGTAATACAAATGCAACAAATATAAGCAAAGATGAAATAAATGAGATGAGATATCCGGTAAGAAATAGCCATGCTTCATTGGTTGATTTCATACACTTTGATACAAAATGCAAGAATTACATGTAGTATAGCAAAAAGAACTAATAAAACAGGACTAATAAATAAATGTTGGTGCTCTCGAACTTGTTGTTTTAAAATGTCTTTATAAAATCGATTGAGATGAAAAGCTAATTGTTGATTAGACATTTTTGTTATAAGAATGATAGTTGATATTAGATTTAGAACAAATGGAGCAAGAAAATGAAATATAGTTATAATCGAGTTGAATTTTTGTAAGCTAGATGTTATAAGTAACAATACATCATATTCGTTTTCATCTTCATCTTCTTCATCCATTAAGCGTCGAGAAATTGGATCATGAATAGAAGTATTAATGATGAATAATAAAAGAATAATAATAACTATTTTAGCTATACGTTTGCTTTTTTTCTTTTGAAAATCTGTAGCTTTCATTATTGTAATTGCTCATTCAGCACCAATACATGCATCTAACCATTGACACATATAAAGACAAATACATAAAAGAAAATCAAGAGATATACATTGACATTATAAAAATAATCGATTTGAGATAATTGTCATTTGTGACAAAAGAAGTATGAAATATTTCAATCTCAATAAAATTGATAAAAGTAATGTAGAAATTGATGAATCTAATAAATACAAACCACAATCAATTTCATATATTTCTTTATTTTTAAATGTAATCAAAGCTAAGAATCCATTAATAAATCCTGCAATGATAATGATGATGGTTAACACTAAATTAGTTTTGACAATAATCGACTGATCCATAAAATTGAGATGTGATTGAATATGATAACCTATGATAGCATCAAGTGATAAGCCTAGTTGACTTGCACTAAATCGACATCGTGCTCCAAAAAAACATAGTCCACATATATACACTGACCTTCATTTTCACAAACACTTCGACCTGAACAATCGAATGTCATGTTGTAATTAAAATCAAAGCAATTACTCAGACGTTGTTGTCCATAATCATAACAGAAACAAATACGAAGATCATTATAAAAATATGTAATATTGGATAAAGATCGTTGATATAGCAATATGATAATATTTGATACGACGAAGAGAATATATTTTAACAAATATTGGTGTAACATCATTTATAACTTCTATGAAATAAATAAATATCGATTGAAATAAACCAATATCAAATCCAAACGATAAAATCATTTTATTCTCAGCTATTTCACATTGATCATCAACATAATCTTTTGGGCAGATGCATAGAATTTTTTTATTGAATAATGTATATTCATCAACAGGAATACGTCGACTACCATTTTGACATGTTAAATTATTATCGATTTGTAACATAGCATCGTCATGGAGACATTGATAACCAAATTTATTTATAGGGCAAACACATAGAGATCAATTATGAGCTGTTAAACTAATACATATTGAATCTGATGAACAATTGTAAGTATGTTGAATAGCACAATATCGTCCAAACCATTCATAATTACATTAACAAAATTTTTTCTTT